ATATATACTGTATACACACACACACACACACACACACACGCACACACTATAATAAGTAATAAATGAAAGTATTATACTGTAATTATGGTTATTACCATTAACTAAAACATTTCTGTTAATTAAAAATTATATATAAAATACATAAGCTTAAACTAAACAAAAATGAGAAAAGTTGCCTTTGCAACTAACTGAAATAACTTAGTTGAAGCATTAAAATAACTCAAAAATAAATAAAAACTAAAAATGAAATACAAAATAAATGAAACCTAAATATAACTATTTAAAAAATAATTATAACAATGACAAAATGTAACAAAATGACTAAAAATGAAGATAGGATTTATACGGTATAGTAGGGTTATTATCATTAACTAAAACTAGAACTATTAAAACATTTTTGTTCATTGAAATACAGCTTAAATAAAATAAAATATAAGTATGAGATAAAAATCTTAAACTAAGCAAAAATGAGAAATGTTGACTTGGCAACCAAGTGAAATAACTTTCAAGCTGAAGTTGAAGCATAAAAAACACTAAAACTGAAATGCAAATACATTAAATAGTAATAATAAAATAAATTAAATTGTAATCAAATAAAAATGAATAAAAATGACAAAAGCACGACTAAAAATTTAACTAAAATGAAAACCAAAAATATAATATACAAAGATATAAATGTAAAAATATATAAATGGCAATTCTAAATATTAATAAAACTATAATAGTAAAATAATACTAAAATAACAGGGGATTGTAATTGATAACAGATGAGAACAAGTATGTCTGCTTAGGCTGATTAGTTTTCTTAGTCAATATAAGGTATACATCTGCTGCTAACTATGTTTCTCAGAGTCATTTCCTTTTTTATTAAATCTAAAATAAAACTATGGAATGTGATTCATGTGAGACATAAACGGTCACACATGCTGTGCACATTTCTAAAATCCAGGAGAACCTTGGCTGTAAACTTTCATTTGAAATCGTATGAATTTTGCTACCTAGTTAAATGTCATACAATCTTTTCAAAGCTTTGGCCAAAACAAGAAAAGAACAGACAAAAGACGTTCTATTCTCAGAATGATACAAGCAGGTGTTGCAATAAAAGACCTAACTGACAGTTTCTTTCATCAAACTGCCAATCCAGTCTCAAGAGCCCAATAGGAGCATGCAGTGTGTTTGAAGTACTTACAGAGCCCTGTCAATCGTCAGATCTCCTCACTTTGCTGAATAATTCTCTCACCACAATCATTTGCACAAATGAATCCACTGAAATGAGCGGTCACAAACTCACCTCTTTCCCTGCCAGCAATGATGGGGCGCCGCCTCACCACTTCCCCCATGCCGCGTATATTTTCTGGCGAGCTTAAAGAGCTGACAGCAAAATCGGCAGCAAGAGTGCTCAAGGAGGTCCAGGAAAGGTTGAAGTTTCAGTTTAGACACACTGGAGAGATACAACTGAGGCCTGAATTATGAATGACTCTTACAAGCGCAAGAAACCTTATCCTTGTCCAGGCTACAAAGTCCATCTCAATATCTTTACGCATTACAGATTTCCAAACATCCTTCACCGACTACAAAGGACAACTACAGTTACAGCTTGGCAACTTGTCTGTAAACGACAGCTAATGAACTAATTACATAATGTGAAATAGACAGCTGACAACTATTTGAAATGACTAATGTTTATATTGTAGGACCACTTTATTCTTTCGAGATAAGATTATATATTAATAGCTGCCTCAAATGTAAATACGGAGAGATATTCTGTACTTTCTGTCATCAGCTTGTGATATAAAAATATTTTTGATCCCATTCATATTTATAGAGTAACTTTTAGCTATAGAAAAGTATATAAAATCGTTTTTTCCCCCCTATGGCCTTTTGTAATGTTATTTATTTTATAAATTAATTTTTATTTAAAAATTACATTTCAAAATTTACTAGGCCTGGAAATCACACTTTTGAAAGTTCCTGATTTTTTAGGAGTGCAGGAACCCTTCAAAATATGAATTATTAAATATATTAAAGTATGAATTAATGTATTGAAGTATGAATGTGGTGATTATGTCATATCACTATAAGTTAATGGAATAAAGTACGGAATATTTTCCCATTTTCCTAGTAAAATTTAAAATGTTAATATTAAATATAATAATAATAACAACAATCATTTAAAAAGTCATGGAAAAGAAATGGAAAATCCATTATATATTTGAAAAAAAACAAACTAATATATATATAGTTTTTTTCAGTGTGATCAGTTCTAAAGTGTTGAGCAAAAGACTACTCTATATTCTGGAAAGCTGCTCTCGTTTCTGTGGCATAGTTTTACAGTAGGACGTTCCATATCAAGTTTCTCTTTTAATTACTCTGATTTAACAGTCTGAAGCTACTTTAAACAAACAATGCATGGCTTTAAAACAATCTGTTTCTCTTCGGCAGCTCAAACTGACTGAATACTGCACAAAATGTAATTAGCATGCTAAGAAAGTGTGTCTTGTGAAAGCTGAGACGTCATCCCTGACCAGTGAGCGGACATTAAACATTAACCTGCTCTATCTCCGGACTGGGTGCCTCGTGTAGAAGCAGGTAACACTACAGATGACCTCTGGCATGCAGCCAGAGGGGACTATAAGGAGGTGCAGGTCAAGTTACCCTGGAGTTGAAAAAAATTAAACAATATGAATTTGCATCCAAACATATCCATCACCTGGTTTTCATATAGCTGGTATATTAACTCATAATCAACATGGATACCTTGAGAGCTTTAAATAAAAGCAGGCAATGTTATTCTGCAACTTGATATCGAGCATATTATTGATCTCTGTAGCATGAAAGTGCCTGAGGACTCACTTTACAAACACTTATTCGTGAAACAATAAGCAGTACAGGGATTACAGTTACAGTAAGGGTTATTGTTACAACCCTTAGAAGAGCATAGGCCGTATTTTATTTTAAGTCACGTGTTTTGAAATCACAAGGGCTAAAATGTTAAGGACTCTAAACCCAGTGGCCTAAAGCGTTTTATTTTTTGCTCTTTGTGGGTGTCACTTAGGGAAAAGTGAAATACTGACCGTGGAAGAGGCCAGTGTAAGAGCACTAATTTTACCAGACAACTGCTCGTACACACATTAATCTTTCCCCCTGTAGAGGATCATGCTCTGGCAAAACACTTCTGCTTTGTGCAACTGTGATTTTTTTTTGTTGCTATTTCTGTATCTGTTTGTAATTGTTGTCTTGTACTGCACTTCTTAAAAAGTCAGAAAAATAAGTTCAAAATAAGTAGTTTTCTTGTTTTCATAAGTAATTAAAGATAAATAACTGTGGAAAAAATAGCAATGGACATAAAAATGGACTTGTTTTCAAAATCCTAATCATAATTGTTTTTACTTGTTTAAGCATACATACATACAACAAAATATACTGATGTTAAAGCTTAAAACAACAAAAACTGAAATTCTGATGTGGTTAAAAAGTATATTCTCTGAAAACAAGTAGATTTAGAAATGCCAATATATATTTTTACAAGGCAAAAATACAGATTCAGAGTATTTTGTTTTGTTAAAAAGAACCAAGTTCATAGGTTTTATCTTAAAGAAGGATTTTATGAACAATATTAGGGTTTAACAATTCAGTCAATAATAATATAATCTACCTACACATAACTTAAGAGTCAAAACATAACTTTAAAATTAAATATGCGGATACAATTCAGTACAAAAATAAAAGCAGTAAAATGTCTCAATACGTAAAATTATTTTCAAACAGTTCAATGCTACAAACACAGTTACAGTTTTGTAACTGCAACACATATATAAACATGAGAAACAACATTAGTTGGCCAAATATTCCTCTCCGTTCATTAAAAGGCCATCTTCTGAGTCCACTCTGGGGTTCCAACATGTTAACTTTGTCGTAGTGTTGATCCTGAATATAGTGAATGTCTGTAGGTCCTCCTTTATGGCTGCAGCGGGACTTATTTAAGTGAGAGGCTTATTTCTATGTATTGATATGTTCAGCATTGCATTGCAACTTTTGATACGGCATGTACTGGTTACTTAAAGAAACAGGAGACTAAAAAGTGGCAAGATGTTCTGTGAGGTATACCTGTCAGATTTTTAGGTAAACTGCTGTAGTCACTCAAACATTCATGAAAGGTACCTTTGGTAAAACTGGATGGTTTTAATATTATTCCAGTTGTCTTGAAGTTACACAAAACGCTGGTTGAAGAAAAACGTTCAGACGTTTTCCATTTGTCCATGAGGAACCTCTTTACAGGTCGGCTAAAGTTAGCAAGATCTGAAAACGTCACGGGTCCACATAAAGACCATGTGTCACGTCGGCTAAGCATGGCTCGTGCATAGTCATCAGTAAATGTGCAAATTATGACTTTTAATTAATTGCTCCCCGACACGATCAAGAACTTGTCTCCACAGATAGCGAGTTGCGAGGATATAGTCCACGTGATCTCTGTGGCTATTATCAAAGACAGTTTGTTTTCCTGTACAATAAGGCATTTTAGAGAACTGCACAATTTAATCTGTGTCCGAGGGACCAAATGCCCGTCACCTTTTCTTGTTTGAACATCCCGTTTTGAGTCCAGCTGTACTTTAAGTTTCTTGCACTGAGCCAAGCAGCAGTCTGGAAAATGTGAATTCTTCCACAGTGTGCTGTTGTTGTTAAATGTTCTGCCTGCCAGGAGCGACGTGCTATGATTTATCTCCTTGAAGAACCTGAAAGCAGACAATATTACAGTAATCAGATAAACGCCCACAGAACACGAAAGGCTTCAAATAGCCATTCAAAAACAATCCGAGATCACGCTTTCGGCACGGATAGTGATGGCAAAAACATTTGAGTTAAAAAGCATATTTGTGACCCTGGGCCACAAAACTAGTCATAAGTCGCATGGGTATATTTATAGCAATTGCCAAAAATACATAAAATATATACATAAAATATATCAAAACGTAATTTTTGATTAGTAGTAGGCTATGCATTGCTAAGAACTTCATTTGGACGACTTTAAATGCGATTTTCTCAATATTTAGATTTTTTTGCACCCTCAGATTCCATATTTCAGATGATGTATAAATCTCAATTTCAAAAAATTGATACTTATGACTGATTTTGTGGTCCAGGGTCACATTTGCGGTTTGGAGATTTGGATATTCTTAGTGGAACTGCTTCGGGTTTATCTCTTGTTGGTCTTGTCATGACGTACCGTGAAGTCAGAACTTTCCAGATGCTGACAAGCATTTGGGTCGTGTTTGTTTCATATAAAACACACAGACCACAACACACTAGGGACACATGAAAGAAGCCGAGTATATTCTCTCGAGTGATGGACAACCCGTCATTTCCAAAACAAGATTACTGTGGAATCTCACAGAACCGAATACATATGTCGAATGATACTCGGCGTGCAGAACTTCATTACTCGAGTTTATTTAAATTTACTACAACGGTTTATGAAAAGTTACCTGAAATCATACGAGTCACCTCATGTTATTTACTTCTGTGGTAACCGAGCAAAACACAGGAAACTCAGTACAATAACACCAGAAGCACTTTAATTCAATTAACCCGAGCAACTCCAATAACTCAAGGGCTTGGATCCAGTCTGGCAGTGTTATGAGAGCAAATATTCCTGGCATAACAGTTGAAGAAACTAAAACTGAAGAAAACCAGACACCTAAATGGTGATTAATGGGGTTTGGGTTCAAAAACAAGTAGAATGCGAATAAAAAGCTCCTTTCCTACCTGGTTGCGGGTTTTGTGAGATTTCTGCAGCCAGACCCGCCACTGATCATAAAGTTTGATACTCATACCGCTGCAACCGTAGGCGTGTTTGCGCACCCAGCCAAAGAACTGCTTCAAATCCCGCCGCAACGTGGAGTTCTGCTGCCCCACCTTCGAGTCACACGACCCTGTCAGCAGCCGCTCTGCGGGGTGAAAGACAAAAATCAACACGTGTCCATCCAGGGGACACAAGCGCCCATCGTACACGCATCAAGCTTATCACAGACACAGGCCGCAGTTTACACAGCCAACCAAACACAAGTTGGGATAAAAATAAATCCTTTTCTATTTTAAATAAACAGCAGGTTTCTGAGCTCCAGATGTGGGCTTCTCCAGAAGAGTTAATGTGCAGAGGAGTTAATCTGTTAATCTTCAGAAACAATCCTCTGAAAAAATATATCCAACACTCCCCCGTGGCTCTCTGGCAAGCCACAAAATGAGGAGATGTATGACTAAAGTAATGCGTTGCATCTGCTAGCTGGTGTCTGCTGGACTGAGCATCGTCTTGGAAATATGTATCTGATTATAGGATGGACTGCACGACACATTCAAAATGTGAAAATATGATGAAGGACAGCGAAGGCAACATCTCAATCCGAGTATCGCTGCTACCATTTAACTAGTGTCGCTGGTTATATTTATTTATTTTCTGTGCTGCTTTTGGCTTTCTGTCATTTTTAATAATACAAACATTAAATAAGACCACACTCTAAAAAATGCTGGGTTGTTTCAACCCAACTTTGGGTCAAATATGGACTAACCCAAC